CTGTATTCTTCTGAAACTGAATAAAATTCAACGACTTTTCTAGCTGCTCTCATACAGTCTGAGCACCAAAACATAAGTTTGCATGTCGTGATAGAAGCAGCCGTACAAATTCCGCCCAGTGAAGATGTCGCCGTTTCGTTGTCGTCTGCCAATCGCGTCCCTGCACTCGCCGCTGTGACGTGCTGCGTGCACGAGCCAACTGCCTGGCTTCCGATAGGCCACGATCTGAAGTATAAGCTTCAGCTGGGTAGCGACAAACGTTCTTTGATGAATGTTAGGTAAACAGCTGGAGAACAGCCCTTGTCATTGGTCACAGAGGCTCCTGAGAGCACTCCTTCCTCCTTCTATAGGAACTCTATCGCTTTATGGGACACACGGAGTTCTAGAATTAGCAGGAATTCGTTCATTTTTAAGGCGACTACGAGGTACCACCTCATGCTTGCTAGCAATAAGCTGGATTGGTGGAATACGTCCGAAAACTTGTTGTCTTCTAGGATTTTTCAATACATGAACCGATGATTTCCTAATGGGACCAAAATGTAGGTCAAGGAGCTATAAACCCGAGAAAAAAGAATGAAATCTGCTGTGTACCTGGTCAAGTATGCTCTTGCTTCAGCGCTCCATATCATGGATATATGAAGCCAAGGCATTGTTGATGAATCGTGCCAAATCCGGAGTCGCGACATGTGGCCGCCGATAGGGACGTATTGCTCACTCGATTCGCCTGCAATGAAATTTTTTCAGACTTCACAACGGACTTATAAAACATTTCGGTGGCCTGCTCGGAGTTGAAAAACATCTTCTCCAAGATATTAGAAAAAGTAATGTAACATTCGTATAATGTTATACGCAAAAGAGAATAGAAAAGAATAATGACATGCAGAAATAACCAGAGCCACACTTTCCAACCCTTCCAAAGGTAACCGAGTAACTATGTATATAACAGCCTACCACAGCATCTTTCGGCCTCTTCCCCACCATAGCAGGGTAAAATTAACAAACGGATACCTCCAAGTCCACAGCATGGCTAGATGATGTTGGTGTGTCATAGAGTGCTTCACATGCAGCAAGAGAAACCAAAAGCCACACGACGAGCATGTGATTCGCTAGACGTGGGCGGAAATCACGCTGCGACTCTGCTCGCTGCTCACAGATGGCACACATGCGACATGCACTTTGGTCAAGCGTGCTCATCGGAGTTTACATTCATAGCCTTTGCGCTTTAAAAAATGAACGTGGATAGAAGTTAAAGAGCTTCAGGAGACTCGTACCCGGATCCGTTGTTTTTCGAGAATCTGCCGTACCACAAATCAGCATTCTTGTGATAAGTTTCGCAATGCGTAGTGCAGCGTGAAACAGCAGTTATTCATTGAAGACAGCTCGAAATATTTAGTATTAATTAGTAAATCTAATGAATATTTGTATTAATAAATTAATTAATTATTTATTTATTTATTTATTTATTAAAAAATTATTAAAATTATTAAAAATGAGTAAATTATTATTAATTTTATTCAATAAAAACAAGTGTAAGTGGTAACATCTAGTAAAGCTTTCAGCCTTGCGGTTGAATGCCGAAATCGGCCTACCGGTTCATCACGTTATACGTGTGAATGCTGATAAGCTATGGTAACTTCACCATCGAAGCTGAGTTGGGGTGAAATGGGTGCCCCGGTGGTGTAACTGGTAGCACAATTGCCCGGAAAGCAAGAGATCCGGGTACGAATCCCGGCTGGGGCGAAAGTTTCGCCCACAACTCCGGCACTTGTATACATTAATACCATATTTTCTCTTTTTGGTAACGACTAAAAGTCATTGGATGGTAAAGGTTACCTGCTACAGTCGTGTGTTTTTCGACTCCGCGCGCTGCAATCATTCTAGTACTGCGTAGGCTACCGTCATAGATGAGGAATTTTCAAAAAGTTTCCATCAATTTCTTCACTTTAACCAACTTAATAGATCGCGCGCTAGAATCGGTTTCCTCATGGCGACTATGGTGGATAAATCGAGCGTGCTGGGGCGGTGACCTACAGGTAAATCGACCGGTACTACCCACTAAGTGCACTGTGCGAATTTATTCGAAATAAAAAGTTGATGACGTCTGCCCCCTGATTTTGCCAGAAGCCCTGTAACAAACCATATAGCCCTAGCACTCGGTACCGAGAGTTTAATCGAGGATACACGATCCACAGGGTTAACCAGGCTAAATTCAAACTTTTCGCGAAAGCTGTAAATTGACAACTTAAACTAAACAATCCATCAAATATATGAATTTGAATGTTTATTCATTTATAATTTACAGTATTGAGCTAAACACATTTAATTACTCGAATATCTTCATAATCTTTCAGAGCAGAGCAATTCTTTGCACCTCTCTCTAAGGGATGAGCGAAAATAATCTTATGGGCTTTTTGAAATCTTTTAAAAAATACTACAAATGTAGCCAATTGATGGCAGGGCGATCTACCGAACGAGAGGCTGACGGTCGCGCCGTGTCTGCCAAATGGAAAACATCGACAAACCAGCTGTTGTGGCGACGCAAGCGCACCCTCCCTTACAAATTATAACCCTCATAAGTCCGTGTATTAAACAGATTCTTCACTGTTTTTCTTATGAAATTGTGCATCTTATTATTAATTATATGTACATGATCAATGGCAAATATCTGGGTACAGTATAGTACAACGGGTTAGTGTGTTAAGATCCCGACCGGAGACTTCTACACCAACATACAAGGAGTGCGGCCGTGTTTGTTGGTGGCTAGTTCAATGCGCTTCTGAATTCGCTCAGCTTGTCGCGCGTCCATTCGTCTTCGGTGGTCCTCCTTCAACTCAAGCTTGATCTTCTGCTGGGATGGACAATGCCTGAAATCAAGTACATCATGAAGAAGCATCTTGAGGAGGTTCCCTTCCAAAACCCAGGCTCGCTCTCCAGAAATTAATGCACCGGAAAAACGAGTAGCGGGGTTGTTATAAGTGGGAACCTAAATAAGATACCAGTGTGGTAAAAATGTGACAAACGTACATCAGTGTGTGGTTCTCGTAACCATCAGCACCACAGAGCGTACACGGTTTCAAGGCGAACAGTTCGGGACAAGAAGTCTTCGCATGTCCTCCGGAAGGCTTACCCACACTTCTGCAGTAGCCGCAGTCCTGAAATAATGGTCACTAGACGAGAGAGCAGCAATTTTTCTCCGCCCACAGTGAGAGCGCTGCTGGACAGTTTAGTCGGTCCATACGCGAGCGGTCGCGTGCGTACCGACCGAATAAATTACCCAGCGTAGTGACAAGTTTCGACTAGTATCTCCAACCGTCGTCCTAAGACTGATAATCGCAGAAGCACCTCACCTCTCTACTGTAGAGCTGACTGATGGTCGTTTTGCCGCTACATTTTGGCAGGACGTACATCCTCGGAATGTGTTTCACTAGCGCAGCACTATCGTAAATTCGAGTCGAATGCCACTCCTCTTGGATCTGAAATATTTATTCTCGCATACAGTTAAATTCAGTTGTAAAACACTATTTATATAAAAGATCAAACGTAAGCAATGGCGCCCGCACTAAATTGTGGTCATTTGTGGGACCTTCACAACAAGATGGGTGGTATGTTTAAATAATGGCCATCCTAGAAAAGCTTATGAAAAATGGGGACC